AAAGTAAAAAAGAGAAGAACGAAAGAAAAAGGGAAGAGAAGACAAAAAAAAATGAACCCCCCAAAAGAAAAGGGAAACCCAAAAAAAAAAAAAGAGAAAGAAAAAGGGAAGAACAAAAGATAAAGGAAAGAACAAAAGAAAAAGAAAAGGACAAAGAATGAAGGAAAAAGAGAAGAAAAGGAAGATGAAAAACAAAAAAAAATACAAAAAAAGAGGAAATAAAAGAAAAAAACAAATAAAGAGAATATGAAAGAAAAAACCAGATAAAGATGGAAAAAGAAATAAATGAAGAGAATAGAAAGAATAAGACGAAAAGGACGAAAGAATAGAAAAATGAAAAAACAAAATAAGAACAAAAAAATGAAAAAACAGAATAAGAACAAAAGAAAAGGATAAAAGATAAAGAAATGTAAATAAAGAATGAAGGAGTTAAAAAGAAAAAAGTGCGAAAGAAAAAAGTAAAGAAAATTAAAATAAAAAAATAGGGTGAAGAAAAATAAAGAAAAAAAATGATGGAAACAAAAGAGAAGATTAGCAGAAGAAAAGAAAAAAATAAAGGTAAGATGAAAAAATGGAGAAAAAGCAAAAAAAAATTAAAAAAAATTAAAAAAAAATGAAGAATAATAAAAAACCAAAGTGAAAAAAAAGCAAAGTGAAGAAAGCAAAGTAAAAAAAAACAAAGCAAAGAAAGCAAAGCAAAGAAAGCAAAGTAAAGAAAGCAAAGCAAAAAAAAGCAAAGCAAAGAAAGCAAAGCAAAGAAAGCAAAGCAAAGAAAGCAAAGCAAAGAAAGCAAAGTAAAAAAAAAAGTTAATTTTAATAAAAAAAAAAAAAAACAAACTAAAAAAATTAAAAACACACATACCTGATTCTGAAGTTGAGTGAAAGTTAAAAAAAAAAAGGCGAACAATGAAAGCACAAACAAAAGCACAAAATGAAACAATGAATACAAAAAAAAAAACTGAAATAAACAAAAATAAACATCGATTGGTAAAATAATTCTCATTTATATATAATCACCAATCTTAAAAATGATTAGTCGATTATATAAGGGTCACCATGGTGATGAGTCACTATTGTAAAATTAATTGGTGATTCACCACTCAACCAGAGAGAGCTCATAGTGTAATATAACATGGTTTATATATAGAAATTAGGGTTTTTGGAATGTGAGCTGCTTTTATCTAAAACTTTTTTATACTAAGTTAATTACCTTTAGACCTCTAATTGTAGTTGTAGAGCTTGTCAAGACGAATTTAATGGTAGTTGAATCATCAAAATCGGCCTTGTGAATCACGAGATATCTTTGAAAAATATTTCGCTGACTATATAAAATTCTTCTTTAACAATACTATTGTTGAAAGAGAAGTTTACATAGTTAGCAAAACATTTTTCGAAGATATCTTGTGATCTACTGAGCTGAATTTGATGATTCAACCACCATTAGATTTGTCTCGACAAGCTCTACAACTTCAATTAGAGGCCCAAAGTGATTAACTTAGTATGAAAAAAGTTTTAGATAGAAGCAACTTATATTCCAAAAACTCCAATTTCTATATATAAACCATGTCACATTATACTATAAGCTCTCTCTGGTTGAGTGGCGAATCACCAATTAATATAATAAATTTATAATTAAAATATATTTAAAATATTATAATTATATAATATTTATAGAAGTTATTTAGGATGTGCACCTGCGCAGCAGTGCACCCCTTTACATGATTACACTTATATATATATTTGTATATCGACTATCGGATGCATATATATTTTGTGCAACTATACTAATTTATCATTGACTTTACACAATTTATATATATTTAGAATACTGTGTATAAATAAATTGTATAACAAACTAATATTTAGTAAGTAACAAATTTTATCTAATACATATAGCAATATCGATATCAATATTGTCAAAATTCTATTATGTACTGTATGTACAACAATATACAAACCAATTAAATTTAAGAAGACTATTTTTTTACAGTCTAAAGAAAACAAACTTTGAGAAATTTTGTTGGTTATGATATTATGTAGTAATAAACTATCATGCCAACTATCTAATTCTAAACTCTTAGAATCATTAAACTACTATATTATTTATAATTTTTTAGGTTTTTACCTATACTATTTATTAGCTCTGGTAGCAATTAACACAAGTTTTCTCACAATATAATATGCTTTTAAAGCATTAAAATATAAAGTAATTAAAGAATTAGAGATATATTGAAACCATTACGGCTTAAGCTATAACTAGCTAAAGCTTATACTATAACTAGTTATAGTATAAGCTATGACTGTTTATACTGTATCTTTAAATAACCAAAGCGAAAATGCTATATCATATCAAAATAAAAAATACCAAGAAGATATTATTTGATAAATTAATCTAGCTTAAGCTAAACTAATTAGTACATAATAACAAATTTTTATATAATAATAGTGCAAAGAAATAGCAAATAGTAAATTATAGTAGCATATACTAAAGATAAATTTAAATGCACAAATTTTTTGCTCTTAATATTGCTTCACTTCTCTGTTACATCAGTTTCTACATCATCTGTTACTTTTGGACATGTTGCGATATTATAACCTAGTTTTTTACATATTCTGCAATTATATCTACATTTTTCTTACTATTTGTACCACTCAATACTTTGTTATAGTGATTTGCAGATTTAGGTCTCCTTTCATAGTTAATTTTCGAGGATTTTTGAATAGTGTAAGCAATGCTATATTCTTCTTATCAATGCATTTTCAGTTTATTGCTTATTAGAATTGTTAATTGATGTATTGTTCTAGGCCTCTTGTGCTTTAATAAGCTTTTCCTCTTATATGTGAATTCTTTTCAAATAATCATCAATAAAATAGACGAATTTATAATCACAATGCTGCAAATACTTATTCATAGTAGCATGTACAAGACCCAAACATTTCTATAAAAGAGTTGCTTTCAACAAACTCATTATTTGTAGTAGTCTCATTAACATTGTTATTACTGTTAAATAGACACAACTACTTAAAATCCTTTTTATCATACTCTAAGGCTATTGTACCAATATTACTATCCAGAATAGTAATAGTAGTGTCTAAGCTTATCGTATTATTATTAAAACATTGGCCACAGTATATACATTCTTTTGAAATATTAAGCTATTGATTTTTTGAAATCCAACATTTTGCGATTAATTGTAAGCTGAATCGAGCCTTATCTGTTAAGTTCAATAAGTTAAAAAAAATACCAACAAACAAGTTCTCAATTTTGTTGCATGAGACAAGTGCAACTATATGAACATCTTCTAAAAGAAATACAACATGGTTTAACTTTTGACTTGTAACATGTGACATATTCCAAACTTCCTCTATTGCATCTTTTCTAGATGATCTAAAAGATATTTTGTACAAGTAACTGCTGAATCATACTCATCATTAAAATCATCACTCTGTTAAGGCTTCTAAACTTTGAATGACTTAGCTTCAATAGTAGTATGATTAGCAATGTAGTAAGTACTTTTCTTTATTTGATCAATTAGGAATTGAGAAACATTCAGGCCCAGGTATTTTTTAACCAGTGATTCAATAGTTGGAAAACAGTAGAGATACTTGTTATATTAGAAATATTTTTTCGCTATTCTTCAAAAAGCTTATGCTTTTGTTTTTCTTCGCTATGCTCTATCAATATCTTTCCAATATCACAAAGTGATATATTGCTATTATTTATAACATGCTTAATGCATAAATTCTGACTCTCAACAAAGGAGTTTGATTGGATACCAAGTGTAAATGTTAAGGCACTAAAAGTGCATACTCATGAAAATCACCTTTTATATAGCCAATATTCTAGATATTGTTTTGCTCTAGAATACTTTGTAATAAGATTTCTCCAATATTGTTCAAAAACGTCTGGTATATTAGCATTACAACACTGCCAAAACACAGAGTAAAACTCATTAAATTAAACACCTAGCTTGCCCCAAAGCATTTTTTAATATTTTTCTTAATATGCCAAATGCACATAAGGTGTTGCATTTTTGGGTATTTATTAATTATCACCTACTCTATTGCAGAATCACTATCCATTACAATTATATTTGGCATCCTATTACACGTTGCTTTTTTGGTCATACAAAAAATCTATTCATATGTCTCAGTTGTTTCATCACCTACAAAAGCTTGTGCAACAATATGTGATTGTATATTGTTTAGTTTCAGTAATATTATCATGTCCAATTATATCACAAAAGTCACACCAAAGTAGAACTTGTTCTGGACTCATCCAGAATAGACCAGTTAATGAATTTGTTTCTTTTTCCCATATTGTTTCAATAAACCAACAAGGATCCTTATGTTTTCTTAAAATTAATTGTTTATAGAAATATGTAGTATCCTTTCTAATTGTATCAATGGTTGGTCAATATTTTTGAACTTCTGTATAAAGCTCTTTAGAAAATAAAGGATGTAATGGGAATTTCTCCTTAAAATGTGTCGTACTATAGTTATACCAAAACCACACTTAGTCATGAGAAACTCGATTTTCTGCTGCATTTCTGCTATGAATTGCTTGTTTTTTCTAAATTGTATAGCATTAGGTGACAATTCATGATTATAGGTGTTCTTGAGTATTGTTATAATAATATAAAGACTATTTTTAGAATGAGAGAAATTTACATACCATTCACACATTTGTTAAACCAAAGTGCTAGATTTTTTGAGATTTTTTGGTTTATATACCCCGAATATTTACAAATAATTGTTCATTTGTAAATAATTTTTCCCTTTTCTTTTGGGGGGTTCATTTTTTTTTGTCTTCTCTTCCCTTTTTCTTTCGTTCTTCTCTTTTTTACTTT